ATCAGGAACAAAAACAAAGTTGCTGGAAAAGCTCAGCAGGTCTGGCAGCATCTGTGAAGGTAAAAACAGAGTTAACGTTTCGGGTCTGGTGACCCTTCACCGGACCCGAAACATTCACTCTGTTTTTTCCTTCACAGATGGTGCCAGACCTGCTGAGCTTTTCCGGCAACTTTGTTTTTGTAACGTCACATTATACTTCACCTGCCATGTCTGCTCACTCAGTCAACTTGTTCAAATCACACTGAAGCATTTCTGCATCCTCCTCATAGTTCACCCTCCCACCCAGCTTTATGTCATCTGAAAACTTGAAGATATTACATCTAGTTCCCACATCTAAATTATTAATATATATTCATTCACTGGGGTCCAATCCCTACTAGTCACTGGCCGCCACTTGGAAAATGACCCATTTATTCCCGCTATTTATTTCCTGTCTGCCAACCAGCTCTCTTATCCTTGTCAGTACACTACCCCCAAGTCTCATGTGCTTTAATTTTACACATTAATCTCTTACGTGGCGCCTTATCGAAAGCCTTCTAAAGTCTAAGTAAACCACATCCACCGGTTCCTCCTTATCAACTCTATTAGTTATATCCTTGAAAAATTCCAGTAGATTTGTCAAGCATGATTTCCCTTTTGTAAATCCATGCTGAGGTGTCCAGTGTTATCATTGTTTTCCGACTGCTTCGCTATTAAATCTTTCATAACGGAACAAAATAAATTCTTGCAGATAAGAGACTGGCCTAAGGGAAGAGATTAAACAGAACAGGGATAGTCTTTCTGGAATTTAGAATGAGGAGGAGGTGATCCCATTGAAAGGAAACAAGTTCTTTACAACAATCTAGAGCGTAGATATAGAGGAGCTGTTTCATTTGGCTAAAAGGTCTTGAATTAGGAATCCTCTTCTCAGGACAAGGGCTTAGATATTTATTTCAGAGATAAGGAGGAGAAATGTCTTCATTCAGTGTGAATCCTTGGAGTTCTCTGCTCCAGAGGTCTGCAAATGTTCAGTTGCTAAGTATATTTTAGGCAGAGCTCAGTAGATTTTTGGATATGGGGAAATGGTAGCTAGTGTTGACAGTGTAGCAGGCCCAGTCGTTCATACAGCCTATTTCTGATGCACTCATGTTCTAGGAACGTAGGACTTAGGAGGAGTGTATATTTAACCATTTGAGTTTGTTCTGCCATTCAATAAGATCTGATCTGTTGTAATTTCAATTTTAGTTTCCCGCCTGCACCCATAATGCTCAACTCCTGTGAAGCATGAGTCAGGAGTAACAAATGGACTGAAAACCAAACTCTGCTTTTTAACAGTATGTAGCCTTGTGTGAAGGCAAGTTCGATATATATTCTGCTTTATAAAAGAAATTCTTCTTTCATTTAGTGGTCCACAAACATGTGCTATGAATGTTTACCGTCAGTACCTGTTTTCATAGATGTCCTGAATTTCATAAAGTTTCTGTTCAATCACATCACTGGATACACGGTTAGATTGTAACTCATAAACCTTTTGGTCAATCAGGTCAGTCACAGTCTTATGGAAGTACTGGATGAAATTTTTGATGACTTCTGGGATCACATGATAAGTTTGCTGTTCATATTGACGCTCATAAGCAAGGTCCTGCTTAGGGTCACCTGACAAAATAAAAGGATTTTTACAATAATTGATTCCCTTCCTAACATTCTTTCCCTCCTTCCACACCCTAACAGGTGCTGAATACATAACTGAAGTACTACTGGTTCTTCTTGGAATTCAGCCAATTGAGTAATTTTAAACCACCGTACATTTCAGCTGATAGCCACATTTGCATTGAGGCCCGTGCTCCAAAACCAAGGCATACCGGGTGTCTACTCTAGGTGCCCAGGAATGTTGGGCTTGAAACTATAGTAGGTGGTACATTTGTCTACTGAGTCAGTCATGCCCTCACCTCCCCAATCCCCCAAACAGTTACACTTAAGGACAGTGTGCCCCTCCAGGTTGCAAGCTATTTACAGCATAACAGCCCCAGGGACTCCTGAAACATTTGTGCAAGTCAAGGTCTGGCTGCTAAAATCACAGACTCACCAAGGCCCTAGGTCACATTGGGGTTCATGCACAAGATAGTTGACCTGACTCCCCAACTCCATATCCTTTAAAATGAGGCCTAATGTGACCAATTCACTGTTTCACTCACTCTGTGGAGGAGAGGCTTGACTCACTTAGCTCGGGTGTCTCTTCAGCTCAAGCCGATAATCACAATTGGTTACAGATTCATACGTGCTGACATGTTTACAGTATCTAAGAAAGCACATCAAACAAAAAATATTGCATTAGAAGGTTTACCTGTATGAAGATCATAATCAGCATTGTAGGCGTATGGATCATACTGTGGATTGAAGTGAAGACAATTTAGTATCAATGGTGCAAAAACACAAAGTTCGTAAACAAGTGGCAAACATTAGAAAAAGTGCAGGTACATTTCAGGCAAGACAAATATTATGCACAGCAAAAACAAAATTATGTAAAAATAACTCATTCCACTACCATCATTTTCTCCTATTAAAGTTGCCACAGTCCTAATTTTTCATTAGAGAGAATAATGGTGGTGGCTTAACGGAAGAGTCACCACACCTCAAGTAAGGGGAGAGGTTGAGAAGGAGAATACTTTATGGTAATCTCAGCCAGTGGCGAAACCACACTGTTGACATCACTCTGCATCACAAACTGGCTATTCAGCAACTGAACTAACCAACCCCCTTTTACCTATTAAAGGTCAAGTGACACAATACACTTTGCAATAACCTTGTGCAAGGCAGCATTATGCACAGAATTGACTGTAAGGAGAAACTTCAAGACTGCAACAAAATTACAGAGAGACATCGTTTGGCTCAGCTGGTCTATGTCAGTGTTAATGCTCACAAAAGGCTTCCTCTCATTCTAGTTCACTTAACAAGAACATAATTGGAAATAAATTAAGTACCTATGAGACTTTAAGCAAATACAGACATAGGGAAATTGAGGAAAAGTAGAGTGGGAGGGGGAGCAGGAGAATGAAAGAATGGTCAGGATAAAATAGAATGCAGAAGAGGTTAAATGACATAAGGCTCTGAACCTGATTTGTTAATTCTGTTTCTCTCTCCACAGATGCTGCCTGGAATACTGCTCTTTTAAAACTTCATTCATGGGTTGTGAGGCAAAGCCAACATTTACTGCCCATCTCCAGTTGCCTTTGAAAGATGGTGTGTGCTGCCCTTTTGAACTGCTGCAGTCCTTGAGATATAGGGATACACACAGTGCTGAAAGGAAGGGATTTTGACTCAACAACAGCAAAAGAATGACAATATAGTCCCAGGTACGGATGACATGTTATTTGTAGATGGTGGTGTTCCCATTCATCTGCTGTCCTTGTCCTCCTATATGGTATAGGCTTCATGTTTGCAGGGTTCTATCAAGAAGCCTTGGGGAGTTATTCCTTTCCCAGCATCTGTAGTGGTTTGCTTTTATATTTGTGTTGAACTCACTGTCGCTTTTTATCCAGGAAAATTGCACCACATGGAAGTTCAACTCTCCCCTCAGCCAAGATTTCTGTTTCTTGTTCATCTTCAATGCTTTCTGTTTCCTCCTCTTGTCTGTTATTTACCAAAACTCACTTTCTCATCCAGAGATAGTAAGAACTGCCGATGCTGGAGTCAGAAATAATAGTGTGGAGCTGGAAAAACACAGCAGGCCAGGCAGCATCAGAAGAACAGAAAAGCTGAGTGTAGCAAAGCAAGATATACTGCAGAAACATACCAATGCTCGTTAGACAGCACCTTCCAAACCTATGACCACCACCTTTAGAAGGACAAGAGCAGCAGATATATGGGAAAGCCACCACCTGCAACTTTTCCTTCAAGCCACGCACCATCATAATTTGGAAATATTTCAGTGTCAGTGGGTCAAAATCCTGGAATTCCCTACGTAACAGCATTGTGGGTCTACCTATACAAAATAAACTGCAGCAGTTCAAGAATGCAGCTCACCACCACCACCACCTCCAGGGCAACTAGGCATGGGTAGCAAACATTGGCCCATAAATCCCATGAATGAACTAATATCACAGCACAGCTCAATCCTTGCACTTCTGCATAAAATACCATTCATACTGACACACAAGGAAATCCAGCCCAAGGTTCAACCCAAAATAAAAGAAAAAAAACCAAGACCTTCCTACAAGATTTGCAGTCATGAAAATTCTTTTCTTGAAATCAGCTGGCACCCACAAATAACATGCCCAGTTCTTCCTCACTGCATTTCTTTCAGCTGCTATTCTGCTCTGATATTTAAACTGCAATATGCTGCTGAAGCTAAATATCCTCACCCCTACAAAACAGAAAATCAAGAGATAGCCCAAGAGAGGTTTTTATAATTATCAAAGTTTTGATTAGATGTAGAGAAGATGCTGCTACCCCGATTGGAGGAGACTGAAAACGTAGGAACAAAAGTAGTCATTCAGCTTGTAAAGCCTGTTTCACCATTCAGTGAGACCATAGCTGATCGGTGGCCAACTCCATATACCTGTCTTGGCCCATATTCCTTAATACCTTTAGTTAACACAAGTTTATTACTATTAGATTTAAAATTAACAACAGATCCAGCTTTCACTGCCATTTGTGAAAGAGAGTTCTAAATATTTATATTGTGTACAAGTGCTTTCTAACATCTCACCAGAACAGTCTGGGCCTAACTCTCAAATTATGCCCCCTAGTTCTAGGATTCCTTACCAGTGGAAATAGTTTATTTTTATCTACCCTGTCTTTTCCTGTTAATATCATGAAGACTTCTATCAGATCACCCATTAACCTTCTAATTTCTACAGAAAACATATCTAATTTAGAGTCATATAGCACAGAAACAGATACTTCAGTCCAACTCATCCATGCCGACCTGACATCCCAATCTGACCTAGACCCATTTGCCAGCATTTGGCCCATGTTCCTCTGAACTCTTCCTATTCACATACCCATCCAGATGACTTTTAAATGTTGGAATTGTACCTACCTACACCACCTCTTCTGGCAGCTATTTCCAGGCACGTAACACCCTCTGTGTGAAAAAGTTGCCCCTTGGGATCTTTTTAAATCTTACCCCTCCCACATTAAGCTATGCCCTCTAATTTTGGACTCCCCAACCTTGGCTATTCATCCTATCCATGCCTCTCATAATTTTATATAAGGTCACCTCAGCTTCTACCGCTCCAGGGAAAAAGCCTCAATCTATTCAGCCTCTCCCGAGTACTCAAATCCTCCAGTCCCAGCAACATCATGGTAAATCTTTTCTGCACCTTCTCAAGTTTAACAACATCCTTCCTATAGAAAGGCAATCAGAATCATACACAGTATTCCAAAAGTGAACTCACCGATGTTCTGTATAGTCACAACATGATGTCCCAACAATGTTCTCATCAATGAAGGCAAGCAAGGCGAAATGCATCCTTCACCAGCCTGTCTATCTATGACTCCACTTGCAAGGAACTATGCGCACCCTAGGTCTCTTTGTTCGGCAACGCTCCCCAGGGCCCTACCATTAATTGTACAAGTCCTGCCCTGGTTTGCCTTACCAAAATGCAATACCTCACATTTGTCTAAATTAAATTCCATCCGTTACTCCTTGGTCTATTGGGCCATCTGATCAAGGTCCCATTGTACTCTGAGATAACCTTCTTCACTGTCCAACATTCACACCCAAATCTCTCCTCATAATTTAACCCCGAAGATTAAAACAATTTCAGGCTGCAAATGGAAGATAGTCACTAATAACAATCGTTATAATGCAATAAGGATTTCAGGAACAACTGCTTTCCCCAGAGTGACACTTGATCATTACAGAATGGAGTAATTCCACAAATGTATAAAATAAATCTATCAGAAAAGCATTAGAGTTTTTAGTTTTTTGCTGGTAAATCCAAAACTTGAGTGTTGGGCCAAAGCCCATGCTGCACAACCTCAAATCTGAAGAAAGTTGGCAAAACAGTTGAGATAATTAAGCTTAACTAATGACAGAGTTAGATTTAAAAGACTGTAGATTGTACAGGAAAAGACTGAGATGGTAAGCAATTCCACAGCTTTGGGGTTCTGTCATAGACTGAGATGGAAGAATAGGCATTTCTATCATATGCATTCTGTTTGAAAGCAGGTGCTTGGTTCATTTGTTTGCTGATGCCTGATCCTGGATCCATTTTCTAGGTAGCTTTGTCTCTAGTGGGTTGCCATTGCCTTCCAATCTCAGAGGCAGGGCAAGGAAGAAGGTTCCAAATCTACTTTAACTGGACAGGAAATCAAATGTGCAATGTTGGTGCTATTCTGAACCAAACACTTGCCATCTAGCTAACTGAACTAACCAGCCCTTATTTCACCTCAGACTCGATTCCAAGATAAAGTTGCATTCCTGCGCTTGAGCTCAAAAATAAATTTGACACTCCAGTGCAGTTCTGAGGGAGCACTGTACTGTCTGATTCAGAGTGACATTCAATTGAAATTCCCATTTACTTGCTTAAGTGAATGCAAAAGATCTCATGGCATTGTTTCAAAGAGGAGGTGGGGAGTTCTTCCTGGCATACCGGCCTCTTTTTAGTCTCTCAATCAACATCACCCAAAAAAAGATTTGTCTGCTCATTATCACATGCTGACTGGGGTGGGAGCTGATTAGGTATTTCCTACATTACAGCAGTGGCTGCAGTTTGAATAAAGTACTTTGAGACATCCCAAATTAAACGATATAAATGCATTTCTGAAAAAGAATCCTGATCCAAAACATCAACTTTCCTGCTCCTCTGACGCTGCCTGGCCTGCTGTGTTCCTCCAGCTCCACACTGTGTTGCCTCTACATAAATGCAAGTCTTTCTTTTAACAAAAAGTGCTGGAGAAACTCAGTTGGTCTGGCACCATCAATTCCAAAGGAGAGTCTACATTGGATTCAAAATGTTAACTGTTTCTTTCTCCAAAAATGCTGCCAGATCTGCTGAGTTTCTCCAGCACTTTAGTTGGTCTGGCACCATCAATTCCAAAGGAGAGTCTACATTGGATTCAAAATGTTAACTGTTTCTTTCTCCAAAAATGCTGCCAGATCTGCTGAGTTTCTCCAGCACTTTCTGTTTTTTTTAATTCCAAATTTCCAGCATCTGCAGTATTTTATCTCTCTCTCTCTCCCTCTCTCCCCACCCCCCCCCTCCCCAACAGGACGGTAATATCTACTTTATAATTCATTTTTGAGGGGGGTGGCGGAGTAGAAAAAGAATCCCACCAGAAAAAGAAACATCTACATATTAAAAACAAAATATTTAACTTCAAAACAACTGTGCAGGTGAACGAGTGCTAGAAATGGAGACTAGAATGATTCAGAAGAAATTAGGATATTCTGAACATTTGTTTTGATTTTGAATCCACTAGAAATAATAAGTACAATATTTTAAAGATAACACAAAGTTTTAGTGGGAAGGGATGGCTTGATAAATCGAGGCTCCTTTGGGCCTCAGGCTGCAAGAACCATGCGTTTGTTTCATTAACAAAACAGCAAGATATCACTGGAACCTCGCCACAAACTCACCTCCGCCCCATAATCATCCGTAAAAGCCGACATCTCCCCCCTCGATTTCTCTCTTTCTTCAAAATTATTTTGTTTTTTTTTAAAAGAAACTCGATTTTCTCGCAGACAGAAGAGAACACAACCAACCAGCCTTTCGTGTTCCACAGAAAAGGTTCCCCAGCCCAGCACAAGTGCCAAAGAACAGTTCCCCCTCAAAAAGTCTCTGCAGCTACAATGCATTGCTGTCTTAAAATTGTTCCCTTAAATGACACCTTATTTATTTCTGCTCCCTACTATATATTATAGCCTAGATATTTATTCTTCCTCTTATTTTTTCCATCTCAGTAGGATGTTTATTTTTAGTCATTCATAAGATGTGGAAGCACAGGCCAACATTTATTGCCCATTCTCTTCTATCCAAATCGTTATCCACTCCTTTGTCTGTCTACCTGCTTTTCCCTCTCTTTGGGCTCTATCCCAACCTATCATTTGCTCCTTCAGGCCCCCGTCATCTTCTGCATACAAACCAACATTTACCTAGCTATCATCAGTTCTGAGGGAGGGTCACTCGACCCAAAATGTTAACTCTGATTTCTCTCCACAGATGCTGCCAGACCTGCTGAGCTTTTCCAGCAATTTCTACTTTTGTCTCTATTATCCATCCCTAATTGCCCCAAAGAGTAGGTGGTATTGAGCTGCCTTCTTGAACTACTGCAGCCCTTGGAGTAGAGGGACACCCACAGTTAAAAAAGATCCTGTGTAATGTTATTTCAAGAAGGAATAGCGAGGGGAGTTCTCCACCCTTGGAACTCTAAAAAGATGCCACCAGCCTGGGCACTTCCAGCATTTTACAAACATACAAAATAGGAGCAGAATCAGGCCACTTGGCCCCTTGGGCTACTTCACCTTTCAATAAGGTCACGGCTGAGCTGTTTGTGTTTCAAATTCCACATTCCAATCGACACACAGTACCTTTTGATTCCCTTGACTAACAAGAATTACCAAGGTCAACCTTAAAGGTATTCATTGATTAAAAAATAACAACTGCAGATGCTGGAAATCAGAAACAAATACAGAAATTGCTGAAGAAACTCAGCAGGTCTGGCAGGCTCTGCAGTGAGAAAGCAGAGCTAACATTTCAGATTCAGTGAGCCTTCAGAATGGCAAAGTATAATTGTTAATTATCTAGAAATACAAATATATCCATTATTTATTTTTGGTATAGCTTTGAGATTTTTTTGCAGTATTAATTGTGAGCTACCAATATAAACTAAAAGAATTGGCACTTGACCTCATATGTGCGATCTTCCCATAAATTGGTGCCACTTGGCACTGGGTCAAACTCAACCAACTCTCAAACTGGGTCCAGCTGTGGCAGACTGACCACAGTCCTCAAAGATACTGAAAGACTCATACTGAAGCACAGTAAGAACTGCCGATGCTGGAGTCAGAGATAACACAGTGTGGAGCTGGAGGAACACAGCAGGCCAGGCAACATTAGAGGAGTAGGAAAGTTGACATTTCGAGTAGAGGCCCTTCTTCAGAAATGGGGGAGTGGGAAGGGAGCTTGGAAATAAATAGAGAGGAGGGGTGGGGCTGGGGAAGGTAGGTGGGCTGGTGATAGGTAAGTGCAGGTAGGGAGTGGTGGGGATTGGTCAGTGTGGTAGGGATTGGTCAGTGAGGTGGGAGGAGCGGATAGGTGGGAGCGACGACGGACAGGTTGTGTCAGGTCAAGGAGGCGGAATGAGAGGGAGGGTTGGTCATGGGATGAGGCCAGGGTTGGGGAGATTTTGAAACTGGTAAAGTCCACATTTAGGTCACTGGGCTGTAGGCTGCCAAGGCAGAATATGAGGTGCTGCTCCTCTAGTTTCCGGGTGGCGTCATTGTGACACTGGATGAGGCCCAAGATGGACATGTCACCCAGGGAGTGGGAGGGGGAGTTGAATTGATTCACGACCGGAAGGTATTGTCGTTTGTCGCAAATAGAGCGGAAGGTGCTCTACAAAGCGGTGTCCGAGCCTCTGTTTGGTCTCACCGATGTAGAGGAGGACACATTGGGGGCAGCGGATGCAGTAGACCACATTCGTGGATGTGCCGGTGAACATCTGTCTGATGTAGAAGGTTTGTTTGGTGCCTTGAATAGAGGTGAAGGTGGAGGTGTAATGGCAGGTGTAGCACTTCCTGCAGTTGCAGGGAAAGGTGCCAGGGATGGTGGTGCTAGTGGGGAGTGCAGAGCAGAGGAGGGAGTCGTGGAGAACGCGGTCCCTACGAAAGGCAGATAGGAGTGGGGATGGAAATATATCTTTGGTTGTGAGGTCCGATTGCAGGTGGCAGAAGTGGCAGAGAATGATACATTGGATACGGAGGTTAGTGGGGTGATATGTGAGGACAAGGGGGATTCTGTCTTTGTTTATGTTGGGGAGGGGATGTGAGAGCAGAGATGCAGGAAACAACAGAGATGCAGTCGGAACATTTTCAATCAGTGAAGGGGGTAAGTTGCAGTCCTTAAAATAAGAGGACATCTGGGATGTTCAGGAGTGGGACGCCCCATCTTGGGGCGGTGGCAGACGCGGTGGAGACAGAGGAATTGGGAGTAAGGGATCGCATTATTGCAGGAAAGTGGATGAGAGGAGGTGTAGTCTACGTAGCTGTGGGAGTCAGTGGGCTTGAAATACATATCGGTTTCGAGGCAGTCACCAGAGATGGAGACAGAGAGGTCCAGGAAGGAGAGAGAGGTATCAGAGATAATGCAGGTGAATTTGAGATTGAGGTGAAAGGTGTTAGTAAAGTTGATGAACTGTTCAAGATTCATACTATGTGGCACACATGACAGTTCAAAGCACTTTACAGATAAAGAATTACTTTTGAAGAGCAATCGCCATTATAATGTAGGAAACACAATGACCAATTTGTAGGTAGCAAAACTCCCGCAAACAGCAATGCAAGCAAGATCAGATAATCTGTTTATTTGACGTTGATGAAGAAATGACACATTAGTCAGAACTCTGGGGATAGCTGAAATAAAAATAAAACATTTTGGAAATACTCAGCAGGTTCACACAGCATCAATGGAAAGAAATGGGGTTAATGTATCAGGTCAATGACTGCTAAGCTTCAGTTAATTCTATTTGTCTTCTCAGATATTGCATGACCTGCTGAGCATTTCCAGCACTTTTTGTTTCGATTTCAGATTTCCAGCAAGCAGCAGAAAAAATTTAATCAAATTAAATTTTAAATATAAATAAGTAGTATAGTAAACATGCAGAACAAAATAAATTATAATATTAAAAAAGTTTAACATGAAAACTCCTAATTTGAAACATAAATTCAAATTAATCTAATGCTGCAGCTTCTTTTAAAAAAGGTTGAGTGAACGTGGGCGTCACTATTAAGATTTATTCCTTATTCCAAGTTTTCCCCAAGAAGGTGTGGTGAGACACCTTCTTGATCCGCAGCAGCCTACAGTGTTGTATGAAGACAAAGTTCCAGGATTTTGAACGAGAAACAACGGCAATACAATTCCAAGTCAGGATGGTGAGTGACTTGTCTCCATGGGCTTGATTCCCATCCTTCTAAATAGTCAAGGCTGCAAGCTTGGAAACAACTGTCAAGGAAACCTTGGTGAGATTTGATTTGAATTGATTTGATTTGATTTATTGTTGTCACATGTACCTAAGTACAGTGAAAAGCTTTGTTTTGTGAGCCAGTACAGGCAGATCATAGCAAACAAGGACATGCAAATCATTGGATGCTTAGAGTGAGGCATACAAGGTTACAGCTGCACAGGAGGTGTATAAAAGCAAAAGTCAACAAAAGATGTGAAATTAGAGCGGTCTATTCACTGTCAAATAACAGCAGGAAAGAAGCTGTTCTTGAACCTGTTGTTGTGTGTGTTCAAGCTTCTGTAACTCCTGCTTGACGGAAGAGGTCGAAAGAGTGAATTACCAGGATGGGAGAGGTCTTTGATAATGTTGGCTACCTTTCTGCAGCAATGAGAAGTTTAAGTGAAGTCCATGGATGGGAGGTTGGCTTCCGTGATGGTCTGGGCTGTGCATATAACTTTCTGTAGTTTCTAATGGTCTTTGGCAGAGTGATTGCCATACCAAGCCAAGAATACTTTCTGTGGTGCATCTGGTGAGGGTCTTTATGGATATACCGAATTTCTTGAGCCACCTGAGGAAGAAGAGGTGTTGTTGTGTTTTCTTGACCGTCGCATCTACATGGGAGGTCCAGGACAGATTGTTGGTTATTATCACTCCTAGGAACTTGATGTTCTTGACCCTCTCCTCCTCAGTTCCGTTGATGTAGATAGGGGTGTGTCCTCCTCCTTTCTTCCTGAAGTTAATCATCAGCTCTTTTGTTTTGCTGACATTGAGAGAGAGATTGTTATCATTGCACCACGAAACCAAGCACTCTATCTCCTTCCTTTATCCTGTGTGCTGCAGTGTATCATGTAAATGGTGCACACTCAATTACATTGTGTCTGTGGTGGGCAGAATGAGTGTTTGTGTGATGGCCATGGTGACTATCAAACATCCACTTTGTTCTGGATGGTGTCAATTTTCTTGTATCCCATTGGCAGTGCATTTTTTTGGGCAGGTGGAGAGTATCCCATCATATTCTTGACTTGTGCCTTATGGATGGGGACTCAAAGCCAATCTTTGACTTGTTCTTTAGCCACAATATTTAGGTGGTTAGTCCAGTTTCTAGTCAATGGTAACCTACAGGATGTTGATGGTCTTGCCATTAATGTAAATATGAGATTCTTAAGACACATATTTTCAGAGATGGTAATTTACTGGTACTTATGTAATGCTAATTTTGCTTATCATTTGTCAGTCCAAGTTAGGTGGCCTGGGATGGTGGTGAATGTTATTTGTGCAGCTAGCAAAACTGCATCTTATCATGTGATAGGTTTGGTGCCAATATCCTATTTCAGTATAGGAATCTACATGCCCTGCTTGGAGATAGCAAGAACTGCAGATGCTGGAGTCAGAGTCAATACAGTGTGGAGCTGGAGGAACACAGCAGTCAGGCAGCATCAGAGGATCAGGACAGTCGATGGTTCAGGTCAAGACCCTTCATCAGTCCCGGCCTGAAACATCAACTTTCCTGCTCCTCTAATGCTGCCTGACCTGTTGTGTTGTACATGGCCTGCTTGGTCCAGTCTGGTAGAGGAAAACCACTTCCTGGTTTAACTAGGAGAATGTGT